GGCATGATGTCACACAGGGGAGGGGGCAAGGCACCATAGGAAGAGGGCAGCTACTATACATAATAGCTGCTGAGGTAGTGGGAGACCTATCAATTAGCTAGTCAGAAGTTTACACATTTTATCCAGGCTCTATTGCTCAAGCCTTCTAGAATGGAAAAAGAAATCAGTTTAGGAAGAATATTCCTCACTGAGAAAAATAAAAAGGCCTGGCATCCATATTCAAATTTCCCCATTTTTCTAGTTGAGGAATGAATGTGGCAGAAGTCAAAAATCAATTTTCAGCAAACATGTTTTGACAAATATTTTGAAACAACTAGTTTAGAATGAACCAAATACTGCTAGTCAAAATGGAGAGAAATTTAAATCCCAAAAAGAAGCTCACCAATATTATCCAAATAGTTACATAGTCAGGGGAACAGAAGATTATTGCTTGTTCTTGTCACTAATCCATGAAATTTTAAGGAAAGCAGCTATGGATATTATCCTCTGGATAATCTTTATAAGAACAGTTGCATGAAATCAGAGTGCACTTTCAGTTGCACAGACAATGTTGTATCACAGTAAAATTATCTTTTTCTAAGTCACTGGTAACTAAAATTTCTTAAGGGACCTATGAAGTAGTAAAACAGTTTTATTTCTGAGCAAAGCAAAATTGATCTCTAAACATACCCCAGTGTCTCTAGCTTCTTAAAAACTCTTAATCCAAACTTTCCTGTAGACAAACAGTTAAAGAATCTTGAACCCTGGATTGGCTCACAAGAAATCCTCAGAATATCTTAAAGCTCAAAATGGCTCACCTAAATCCCGAAACATGAGGAAAAGGAGAACGAGGCCTAGTGTCTCTGTAGGATGGATTTAAACCTCTAAGTGACCACTGCCTGTTATGGCTTATTTCTAGATGTCCCCCAAAGCTTCATGCAGTCATAGGTGGGCCTTTTTCAGCGATGACAGGGTCTATAGTATGTGATGCTGGGATCAAGGGTGTGTGATTACTAAATTAGTCCACTGATTGGTTTGGCATAGTTCTGAGTAGGATTAAGGGTGCCCTACCCTTTCTGTGAGTGCTAACTGCCCCAAGGGTGAGGATGTAATATAAGGGACAGAAAGATGGTTGCTTGTTGCCTGCTTGCTGCTTGCTGCCTTCTGTCTGCCCTGCTTTACTGTGGACTGAAACCCCTACAAACTGTGAAACAAATAAGCCTTTCCTCCCTTAACTTTGGGTTTCAGATGTTTTGTCTCAGCAATGAGAAAAGTAACGAAGGCAAAATTTGGTACCAGAGATGGGTTATTTCTGTGACTGTACCTGACCTTTTGTTTCAGGAGCCTTTGGAACTGGTTTGTGGGAAGTGTTTGGAAAGGTTTGGATATGCCAGCTAAAGAAGCAGCCCTCAAATGCCTTACACTGTACTTGATGGGCAATTCTGGTCAGAGCTTGGAAGAACAGAATGCTGATAGAAACACTTCTGGTAAAGACAAAGCTCAGAAAGTTTCTGCTTGGAATAAGAACTGCATTGGCTGTTGGACTCCAGATGATGTGTTATACCTTGGCAGAAAGTCTGTTTAGGAGACTTTTCCTGAGGGTGAGATTAAGGGCGGCAGTCTAATTAATCTGGCAGAAGAAGGCAGCCTAATGTCGAGGCTGTGACATGGCTACTGTCAGGGCTTTTAGCCAGATCTATGTTGAGAATCAAGAGCAGAGAATGATTTAAAAATCAAGAGCAACAGAATGATTTTAAAAGTTTTGAGTTTGGTCAGAAAAGGAAGCTCCAGCAGTGTTGCAGCCTGAAAAGATGGAACAGAGGATAAATCAGTCACTGAAAAGACTTGCAAGAAAAAAACAAATATTTCAGAACAGGACAATGGAAAAGATGGCCTGAGGACATCACAAGAAACAGTAGAACTCCAGCCTTTGCAGCCCCAAGGTTGCAAAGGTGAAAGAATTTGCTGGAAGAGCCCTCCCAGAGCACCATGTTCCAGAATGGTGGTGACCTAGAGAATTTGTTCATTGGGATTGGGCTCAGAGTGCTCAAAGATCCAGGCACTCGACCTCTACAACCAAAAGAGAAAGAAGGCTGGTGAGTGCTCCCACCGGCAGCTGGCAGCAGACCTTGGTGTCATCCACATGGTGCTGGTTGTAGGTGCATGCAGAATACAAGAGTTGTGGGGTCAGGAAGGCTTCCACCCTGATTTCAGAAGAAGGCCTGGGAGGCCAGGCAGTGTGCCCATGAGAGGGAAAAGTGTGAAGCTGTGAGTGTGAAGCTAAAGGTGCAATGGAGACCCCAGAAGGTTGAAGATGCCAGGAAAGCTGCAAGGAGTGAGCAAAGCCAGCCAAAGAGAGAAGCTCATGGGTACTACAACAACCAGAAGTGCCATAGAGGTGGTGTCACTCAAGCCTTTTGTAGTTCACACCATTGCCGAGGATGCTGGACACATAACTACGGGATTTAATTTTGCCCTGCTGGATTTGGTCTCACTTTGTTACCATCCCTTCCTATCCCTTTTTGTACCTTTTGGAATGGTGATGTCTGTCTTTTGTGATTGTATGTTGGAAGTGTTTAACTTTCTTTTCATTTATACAGGGGCTTGAAGATAAGAGTTTGCCTTAAATCTCAGAGGAAACTTTGGATTTGGACTTTTCAGCAATGCTGAAACTGTAGACTTTGGCAACTCTTGGAGATGGACTAAATGCTTTTTGTGTAAATGGATGTGTGTGAGTCTTTGGGGGGCCAGGGGCAAATGTTATGACTTATGTCTAGGTGTATCCCCAAAGCCTCATGTGGTCATAGGTGGGCCTTTTTTAGAGGTGGCTGGATCTAGAGTGTCTGATGCTGGGATCAAGAGTGTGTGATCACTAAAATTGTTCACTGATTGGTTTGGCACAGTTCTGGGTAGGGTAAAAGGTGCCTTGCCCTGGGTGTGAGTGCTACTTGCCCTTAGGGTAATGATGTACTTAGGGAACAGAAAGATGGTTGCTTGTTGCTTGCTGCCAGCTGCCTGCCCTGGTTTGCCATGGATTGAAACCTCTATGAACCTTGAGCCAAATAAACCTTTCCTCCTTTAATATTGGGTGTTGTGTATTTTATCTCAGCACTGAGAAAAGTAACTAAGACACTCCCTTATAATGCATTGTCCTTCCTTTAACATGGAAAGCTCCCTGGTCCGACTGGGTGCTCCACCAAATCAGAAAAGCAGAGACCTTTCTTGCCTTATAATCAGGAGATATATCTCCAGTAGTCCCCTCACAGATTCCTGGCTGCACCCTGTCCAGTTAGTATGCCAAATGTAAACAGTACCAAAATCCTCACGTTACCATGTGGAAGATCCAGTAGTTAGATTTCAGGATCTTGTGTTGAGATCCATTCTAAATAAATTTTTGGGGAAAATAATTTCATAATAAAAGTGACTATAGCTGTCTAAGGCCCAATGTCACCTTGCCCTTGAGCTGGCTATGGCATGTGGA